ACAGTTCTAGTCAACATATTATTCAACACTTCGAAATGAAAATCCAAGTTCTTAGTTATACAATTCTTCTTTATGGTGCTTGTCTTTTGGCCTCATTCATTTTTGCATTCCAGGGGAAGGCAATGAATTTGAGCTTAGTTCTAAGCCTGGTGCAGAACCGGTTAATCTACTGGGCCAGCGTGCAGTAATGATATGGTATAGATCTCTCAGCAGTACAATCCCATTATCTTATTCTTTAGCCATCTCTTTTCTAGTTTGTCACGTGGCCAGAGAGGCAATTTTGCCCACAGATATTTTAAAGTGGGCTATTGAAGGAAAGCTTCCATATTTTGCCGCCTATGTTGAAATTAAGAAACAGCTTGGATCTCACTCCAAGGCTTGTCCTATCAGTGTCAGTCGTATGTTCAGACCCATCCATGTTGTTTCACCACAGAAATTGGAATCAATGGCAGCTGATATTGCCCGCAAAATTCAGTTGGAATTGCCTCCGGTGAACTTCTATGCTATAGCTTCTCGTTATTGCAGGCAATTATCTCTTCCTACCAGCCAAATACTTTCCGTGGCATGCCACACTTGTGAATGGTCCATGCCTCCCGAATTGTATATGTCGGCTAACGAGTTCAGGCTGCCCACGCGAGTTTGTGTGATGTCGATACTTATTGTAGCAATAAGAATTCTTTTCGATATTAATGGTTATGGAAAATGGGAATCAAGTTTGTCTAGTTCCTTGTTTTCATTATCTCAGTGCAGAAGAAATGGAGATAACAAACATCAATGCTCTAATAATTTAACCGATGATACTAAGGACTTGTTATTAAATGATTTAGTGCCTGATGACGTTAAACCAGGTGTTCGGGATGCTAGATTGGGTGTTGTAGAGCTTTTAAAGATTCTTGAAACAAAATACAATGAGCTGGGTGATGTATATGGTAATGATATTATGAATCATATTTTAGATAAAGTATTTTTGTCTTTAGCCCTTGTTTGAGCCCCTTTTTTTCCGTCAAAATGCATTCTTGAACAATGATTTGACCCCATTTCAACCACACATTCTCCAATAAAATAATATTACACGCAAACCCAAAACTTTTCCGTATTTCTTTAACCACTCACTCTCCATCATCACTTTATTGGAAAATGCATTTTTTGACAAAAAAAGAAATGGGTTCAAACAACCCCTCAGTTTCCTTAATATGGACTTGGCAGATAGTTATGCTAACTTCTTTGCCTACTTTTATAGAGTATTCCCGAGACTTGCCTTCATATCTTCAGTATTGTAAGGATGTGGTTTTTTCCGGATTACAACCATCTTTTGAGGATCATGAAGAAGAGAAGTTGATAGAAGATTTATGGGACTTCTATCAAAATTCGAAGGTATCCAAATTATTTAATCCCCCAGCATCCCTTCATCCTCCCTCCCTCTTTGGTTCAGGATGTTACTTTGAGCGTAAGTCAAGTTTCCCTTAATGCTATGGAAGTGGTTTTAGAACTCAAAAATTATTACTTTTTGTGAATAGTGGTAACATAATTTAATACTTTCTTCATTTTGATCTACATATTTTTTTATTGTTTTCAAATTTCAGACATCCTATCTTTTTCAGGAAATATATATGCATAAATGAACCCTTAGTTGAAATCAATTTTATGCACTTCACCATTATTTAATTGATAACTGAAACATTTGCATTCTCATCTGAGGTAAATTTTTCATGCTTAGAGATGGTATTGTATATATGCTGAGTTTAAAAAATTGGCGTTGTTAGGATGCTGGAACTTTAGACGACGTAAAAGTCAGTTGCTTGCCCAACAAGAGATCAAGGGATTTCAACGTTAATAGAGATGAGGCTATCAAAAGAGTTTGGGACGATCCTATATTGTGTGAGTCATCTCAAAAGGATAGTACACCACATCATCTACATAATGACTCGGAAGATATCTTGGTTCAGCATAAATTTTCTTACAGTGATCAAGATCCAGCACACGGAGTCCGATCTTCAATGGAATCCTATAAAGATAGAGCAATAAGAGAGTTAAAGTCTGATATGGAAGAGAATAGATTCTGTTATATTCCTCCAAGAGTTAATATCAAGAATAAGGACTATGTGCACTATGTCAGGAAAAAGGACGGAGGTGCCTACATATATGCTGTACACGCAGATTATTATATCTTGCTTCGGTCATGTGCTAAGGTTGCTCAGGTTGATATTAGAACGATGCATAAAGGAGTGTTGAGTTTTGAGAGGAGACTGAAATGGCTGGAAAAGCGAATTGATCATTCCATGCATTTGAAACAAAATTCTAATGACTTCTGTGACTATTGTTGCGATGAGGCTGTGAAAAATACTGGAGATGATTCTATGCCATTTTCACAGTCGAATACGTAAATAATATTTATTTATTTCTTTGGAAGCCATTTTCATTCTTAGGCTCTTTTTTATGTACATATCGTTATTTTCTTACGAATTGATTGTTGGTCGCTAGCAAAAGTAAGAATTCTTGGTACTGTTTGTCAGCAAAAAAAGAGCTGTTCATGTTCCATCGAGCACTGCTAGTGGACTCATTCTGTTGTGCCGAATTGGTGTGTGCAATTTTGTATCCCAGTTGGGTATACCTTTCCTCTTACT